AAGACGAATGATATCATCTTAAAATTTAAATATTTATTCATTAATTTATTTTTGAGAAATTTTAAAAAATGTCACTTTTTCAAAATTATTTTTTCTTTATATTATTTATGTTTGGATTAATTATGTTCTATTAYYGTTTAGTTWWGAGMGTTTAGGYYGTTTTAGGMGTCAAAACATTTTTTAGMGTTTAYAATTTTAAGATATAGGCTTTATAAATTTATAATTAGTGGCATTTTTACAAATAGACACCCTTAAGTGGCATTATTGCAAATGTGCAAAGTGGCAATTATTGTAATTGCCCCTTAATTTTTATAGTATTATAATAATAAGGAAAAAACGACGAGTTCTCTATCGATACAAATAACAAATTACAAAGCCATCGGATAATACTAATTAACAGTGATGATCAATTAAGCAATAAATATAATAAAGGCTAAGATTACAAAATAGTGATTGGTTTAGAGAAGCAATGCAACGGTGAACAAAACAGTCCCAATCAACGGCCCTGATCTCGATTTTATTCTCTCACTTCCATTTTCTTCTTCATCTTCGATATGCTCGAAAACGTTGAAATGACCTGTATTCAAATTTAAACCGACAATGAAAACGAAAAACGAAATAACCGGTCTAAACCAGATGAAGAAGCGGTGTTTAGAATCAAAACCTCGCTCGGGTCCGTAGCTGCAACCGGACTTGAGGGTTTCACGGATGTCTCGAACGGTGGCTCTGTTGTAGAATCTGAAGTGGTGAAGAATGTTTTCAATGCAATTCAAAGCCAAATGTGTCTCGGAGAAGCATGGTCCCTCGCAGAACTCCTCCGTCTTCGCCACCGGAATATTTAGGTCTCCGGTTAACGTTAGTCTCCATGCTTCCTCACAGCCTCTATAAATCTGCATTTCATTTGAGAGTTTTATATGGATTTAACACTTGCGGTTTCTTGTGTTCTAAGGAAAAAGCAATTTTTTTTGGTAAACAAGGAAAAAGCAATTGATTACGTGTTTTTCATTTAAGCATTCCAAAGCTTTTGAAACTATCTCCGGTGGATCATCCCCACCTAAG